ATGACCCTTATCTTTGGACTGTTGAATTGGCTCTCAAACATTACACGTCCCAGTACATGTTCTTGCGCAATTGTCATTGACATAAGCAATAAACAAACAATTTTCATGGTATCCCTGTTTGAAGATTTAGTAATAATATAAAGTATATCATTTCCCAATCCGTTATATGCCGTATATTTATGCTTAACTATTTCAAAATTCATCTCTAAATGACAGCATACTAAAATGCACATCTTTATTCAAGAACTTTCAAGTCTAACTTGAGGAGTTGAGCTTCACAACTGGGTCTATCTTATGACATTGTATCAATGTGCCACACATTAATGCAATTTATTTCAAAATCTATCCAAAAATGACAGATATGGACGGGATTAAAAACGGACTGACAGGGACAAGCTCTTACTGGGAGATTTGTGAAGATGTCTATTATCTTCATGTTTGTTTCTTACTCAAAAAGCAGCCTTTTGCCTCCCATAATCAATGATTCATCCTATAGGTCGGGGGTATACGGAATTAATCTAAAAGCCAAATTGTGATCGCAAATACCCCTAACAGACACACGAGGACGCTCGGACAGATAGACAGACGGACAGATATTTGAACAGGTCCCCCCTCAGGACGATATTTTTAAAAAACAACGCAATAATTTAAAGAACACGCATTGTGTTCTTAGAAGTATGATAAAACATTTAATGACAAAAGTGAACGCAAATATAACTCTCATTTACGTTGTATTAGGGTATAAATTGTGACCTTATTGCACCATTAAGTTTGTAGTTTTAATGGATGTTTTTCAAAGTATTCGCTTGGAAGTCTTAATTAGTATCACTGCACTTCTAATAAAAGAAAATATGCCTAGTAAAATGCCTTCTTGTGCTTGTTTACTTTAATTACAATACAGTGTATAAAACATAGGAAATTATCCGCCATTTTGAAATCCAAGATGGCTGCCGCAATAAATTTTATTGTTTTTGCATCTATTCTTCTCGTCCACACTTCAGTAGACTTAAATTAACAAAGCCTTAAATTAAAATGCCACAAAATGTGGCATATATCACCCATGGGAGAATTAAAGTAAAATTAAAAAAATCAATGGCGGCCATTTTGAAATTGATTTTTAAAGGTCAAGGACTAACAATACAGCCTTGGTAGAGCGAAAAATGAATTCAGCGTACTCAAAATAGGTAAGTAAGCCCAACTACCTGCTTGTACTAAAAATGCCGTTAGGATGAACATTTTCCCAAAATCAAACCAGTCTATATACCGGACAAGGCGTTTGAATGTTTAAAAGCTTAATTTTCCATTTTTTACACGCCGAAATGCACTCTTAGATGTCTAGTTCATCTATAAATATACGATAATGAATGAAAAATTTAAGAATCGGCGAAAATAAAACGATATTTTTTTAACTTCTTTGTGGTCATATTTTCTGCAATAAAAGGGCTAGACGGTACGGTTCCAACTCTGCTGTGAGTTAAGGTGGCATACCACACTTATTGAAGCCACAGCTTCGAATGGCCAGGATTTCTTGGATAAAGTGACTATTCGGAATTTAAATGACTGTTTGTCTTTCAAAATGCATTTTCAGAATGAAATTTGTTTTTGTGATATCTAATATGACCACTGTTAAATTCGAAAACATGGCCAGAAATCACATGCTGTTGATTATAGGTTTCCGGCCACCACTTCTTTTTGTAAACATTGCTTTTAAACAACATGCCCGGTAAAGGCAAGTAATTTTACAGGGGGTACAAACTTTAGCAATAGCAAAAAATCTACAATGCCAAGCACCCGTTTCTTTTTGATAGTTTGCATGTATAGGGAGTTGCTTAAGCAGATATCACACAGAGTTTCTGTAGCCCGTATATTTGCAGGTATTTTTGCCAGAAGGACGAAATGTGATGTTTTGGGTCTGGACAACTGTAGATTTTGGAATGAATTGAAACTTTTTTAAACTGACTGACTATTGCACATTAAATAATTTCACAATAGAATTGTAATGACATACATGACATATATGATCTCAACAAAATGTGTTTTCTTTTTCCAGGTTGTGTAGTTTGTGATCAGATTTATTAGACATATTGCTTGTAGGACATTGACGGCAAAACTTGAAATTTAGTGTAGAGTGCTACCTAAATTCATGCCACTTACACAAACTTTTGTTACTTTAGTGCTTGTTTACATTTATCTTACGAGGATATATTCGTCTATTCATGACCATCTTGAATCACTCGAAAAAGAGACAATTTGTTGAAAACAAAACTGTATTTTCCTAAATCGCCGATATACGCTCGTAATTCTGAAACTTTTATAACATTATTGACATAGTATTAAAAGTTATATAAGTTTTAAAATGGGTTATATAAGAACCCCCCCCCCCCCCCCCCCCCCCCGAAAACTACATGTGCTAGATAAAGATAGCTTTAATGCCTGGAAGCATCAAATATTGATAAAGTCAGTGAATATATAATCTCCTAGATAAGACACAAAATAAGTCAAGACCACGATGTAGCTCCTAAGTCGTTTGAATTGTGATAGACCTATTTTAAATTTTATTCTTTAATTGCCATTAGACTTTATAAAGCTTCCCCTCATCGATGTGGGTTCGAATCCAAACAGGGACTTTGTATTCTTAATGTCCAGAGGCTGTCCTGCTAGCTAACGTCAGTGGTTTTACTCAGGTGCCCTTTCGTGTCTGAAATAATGCACGGAAAGGCTGCCGAGGTCGTCCTCCACAACTAAAGATGGAACGTCGCCTTATAACCAATGTCGATGTGATATTAAACCCAATCAAACATAAAAATAAAATAACTTTATCGACAAACAACTGATTAATTAAAACAGTGTCATCTGAAAATAAAAATGTGTACACAGACAAAAGTTATATAATTAATGCCCCGGTCACATATTCACGGATAATGTCACGGAAGAGCTACGGTCTAATTGTTCACGGATTACTACGGAAATGTGAAATTCCGTAGTCCGCTACGGTTCCAGTACGCACACACAACGGTATGATTACGGAGTTCGACGGATTTACCTCCAAAAGCCCCGGGAGAGACACGAATTGTTACGGATCGACACGGTTTGATCCGGAGCGACACGAATCAGGACGGACGCACTACGGATACACTACGGTCTGCTACGGTATAAGCACGGGTTAGAACGAATAAGTACGGTCTGATACGGAGAAGAACAAATTAATACGGAGAAGAACGAATTGCCACGGATCTATACGGACCTATTATATCCGTCCACAACCTCTTGCATGCTCAATGTCTCACAAGAAAAGAACACCTAGAAAACGAATTGCAGAGTTCAATGATTTTGGAGGAAAGGGGATTCGGCCTCATCGCGTCCAATCCCCGAGACATATCAGGTCCGATTGTAGTGAATTTCTTGAAGGACGCCGGATCCTCAACAAGTTCGGCCATGAGAGCCTTATACTTAACATGAAGGGGTCTTCGTAAAAGCCCATCTCTAGTCAACCATCACCTCTGTCTTCTCTTACCGGATAAGATATGGACTAGTTATCATTAATGCAAAATGTTGATCAATACTGCTTCTCTTTTGAATTTAAAATGTGCTGTTCATTTTACAATTACTTTAATTATCGTGAATGTTTATGTTTAAAGAATATGTTTAAAATGCTTGTGTTAATTAATCTTAGTCAGTATCACTCAAGGGCCAGCGTTCAAGGCTTATGAGACACTTCGTTTTATGTACATATTTACTCCAATTTCACAATTCAATGTTTTGTAAAATATGTAACATTAAAATGTTATTATATTACTTATGCATTGTTGTACGATATTAACATAACAGCTCGACCACTGCCTCCGCATTCTGAGCCATATCAATATACATTTGCAGCCAGTAAATGGCAATTATCATTTATTGAATGTTCACACAAATATCTTTTAACTAGCAGTTGGTATCGATACCCTTGAAAAAGTACATGATACTTAATTTATCCGTACTAAACAGTGGTGGACCGTACCATTCCGTACCGTTTCGTGATGCCACACAATAAACCGTAAAAGACCGTGCTAATCCCTGCCTCTCCGTAGTACAGCGTATTACGATCGTGGCTTTCCGTGATAATGCCGTATTAATCCGTATTAAAACCGTAGCTTATACGTAGGGTAACCGTACAAATACGTAGTTCTCCGTACCGAACCGTGGACAAGTTGAGGCCTACGAATCAGTACGGACTAGTACGGTTTTCGTACGGACCAGTACGTATCAGTACGGTTTAATACGGACTAATAGGGATACGCTACGGTTGATTTTTCCGTAGCAAATTTTTGTGCATGTTCAAAAATTGTCAAGGATCGCTACGGATATACAAGGACTACTACGATTGATCACGGTTACAATACGGAGAGCTACTGACCAGTACGGGTAACTACGGACGATGCCGGAATTAATCCGTGGCTCTTCCGTGAGCGTTTTCCATGAATATGTGACCGGGGTATAATGCAATCCATCTACTGCGAGCTAAAGTGTTTTAGCCATTTCGTTTAAATATTTATCTTGGTACTGAACTGTTCATTTATGAAAAGAGATAGTGTATCAGCGGCGGATCAACTCAGCCGATAATATCACGTTACGGTAATCCAAAGGTCCAGGGTTCGAGTGCCAGCCAGGCTCTTGAGACATGATAAGTTATTATATATCCATTTACAGACAGAATACATTAATGCTAGGACTTTGGTATGTTTTATTTTTTCTAGCAAGGGAGAAAAATAGTACATCTGATAGCGTTATAGTTCTTAAGCAGTTGTCTCCCGTTGCATCAGTCAGACAGCTTATATTTCCGTTATTGTCGTTTGTAATATATATACATATATATTTGTAACATTCGCTAAAATACATATATATGCATTAAGAGCGTCAATCTTGCCCATGCTTAATATGTATTCCGAGCCTTCAAGTTTTTTTAATGTTAACGTATCCGAATATATGTATAAAATATAACGTGTTATTCTCACGGGTACACACATATATACATGTATTTAAATCAATAGTGCAATGTTGTTATGGTTTAAACTGTGTAAGGACGTGTGATAAAAAGATATCATTATGTATGTAATACTCGAGATCATACAAACTTTATGTTATTTGTTCTACTGTATAGCAGAAGCAACCGTGCGGGTTTTCGTTCCAGAAAAGAAGAAAAGTTTTGCAGGAAAATTGGTGCTAGTGACCGGTGCTGGTCACGGCATCGGACGGGAGTTAGCCTTACATTTTAGTGATATTGGTGCAAGACTAGTTCTGTGGGATATAAATAAGGTATATTATTTAAACATCCTTTTTCATTTAATTTCATGTATCGATAATTTTAAAAAATGAAATTCACATTTATGTGTTTAAAATTTAGATTTATATGTCATGATAATGGAGTATTTATGTGAATATTATTCGCACCATATATTACATTTTAATTAAATACAAATATAATATTTTTATGGCATACAATTCGAACCATTTGTGATAAAATGTGCGTTAACCTTGCTACATGTATGTTTTATCTTAAGTAAACACACTGTACATTTGTCCTTGGCCCACAATCGAATTCGTGTATTCAATGTTATCATTATTAACACTTTACTCTACATGCTCTATCGCTGTACTCCACACAGTTGAAAAGGACTTTATTTCTACCTTCGAGTCTTCCTTTCTATTCGATCACCAGCGTGTGACTATCTACATCTGTCTGAAATTTGAAGATATCAATAATAGAGCTAGTCAAATGTATGCTAAATATTACATTTCGTTATTTAATTCACAAGAATGATAATTTATCAAACAAAAAAGGATAGTTCAAAGTCCAGATATAGACAGTTTAAGTATTCACACAATATTATATGAACCTTTGAAGTTATTACTCATGTATATTGTTGTTTTGTTTGTTTGTTTGTTTTTATCATCATTATTTTAATAATCATAATTATTATTATTATTATAATTATAATTATTATTATTATTATTATTATTATTATTATAATGATTATTATTATTATCATTATTATTATTATTATTATTTCAATACGCCAGAACATTAAGGTGTTACATCAAAGTTAAGCCTGTCAGAGAAAAAGGCACTTCCGTAACAAATGAACCATTGTAACTTGTGTCTACTTTGCTTAACGTTAGCGACGACTGATTGATTACTGATTATACAGTTCTTTTAATAGTATAAAAATTCGTTTTGAAAAAATAATATGTTTACACATTTCGTAATTGTTGAAAAAAACTCTGTTTGATTTAGCTTGTTTATGGACTGTATTGGAAAGTGCAAGTTACCCCCCCCCCCCCCCCAAGCACCAAGAATTCATCATTTAAACATAAAAATGGTGAAATTTTGAATTTATGTATTCATGCAGCGCCCTTTTGATTTTTCGCCTCGAGAATACATAAATTTGGCTTTTCGTTGCGAAATGCGAGCATATGAAAATCAGCCAAACACCTAAAAAAAACAAGAAAAAACAAGTATTCTTTCAAACTTCAGCAAAATGTAGAGAATGTTGTTCAAGAAATACAAGAAAATGGTGGAACGGCAACGTCATATATATGTGACGTCAGCAAAATAGAAGAGATAAAATCTGTCGCGGATAAAGTACGGCGTGAGGTCGGCGATGTGGACGTGTTGGTGAACAATGCTGGTATTCTACATGGTGCCTCTTTTCTTACATTGACGGATGCAGAAATAAAAAGAACCATTGATATCAACTTATTAGCTTATTTCTGGGTGAGGTTTTACTAATGCATGTGTGAAAATGTTGTGGCTGTTGTTGTTGATTTTGTTCACATGATGTAAGGAAAATAATTGCGCAATTTTGTTTTGACATATAAATCTTGGCTTGCTACATGTATTTTTACGCTCTTTATTCTTTCTAAAGAAAAACAAGCATTTTTTAAAAATAGCCATAGAAACAGATCAACAAAATTTAAATGTAAGCCATCTTTTAAAGAAAGTATGATGTTGTCTTAACACAGATTTCCCTTTGATTAACGACGATGAAGTAGAATTGCTCGGTGCTTTTGATACACCATATATATCGGGAAACGTATAAAGCATACTATCCATTCTGTTTTTTTATTTACCAATTCAATTGTGTATTTGTTTATTACAGACCTGTCGACAATTTTTACCATCGATGATCAATCGAAACTCTGGCCATATTGTAAATATAGCATCAATGGCGGCGAAAAAAGGCGTGGCTTACCTTACAGATTACGCGTAAGTTCAGCTTTGTTATACGACAGAAAAAAAAACTCCGGTGTGTAACGTTAATGCACCTGGTTGTCCGTCCGTCAATCTGTTACCAGGTTTCGTGTCCGTTCTGTATCTTTTGAATAGCTGGAATGAAATCTTTTTGTCTTTAAGATATTGCGGAGTTGCAATTTCAACAAGTGTTTTTAATATATAAGAGGAAAACAACTGTAGCTTTTGAATGGTGGAAGGAATTTGAAACTTTTTGGCAGAAATGTTAACTATAGTGAGACGATGTGCAGAGCGCAGGTTTAACATTCCATCCAACAACAGTTACCCGAAAACTGGATATTTCTTTCTGTGTCGACAGCTAGAGTTTGATTCATTTTCTTGCATATTACAGTATAATATATCTATCGTTTATCTAAAACAAGTTAGCGTACTAAGTTTAAACTTCAGACATAACGGCAGAATGCCGTCATTCTTTGTGCATTAACTAGAACAAATGAGCCGCGTCATGGCAAAACAAACATAATGGGTTTGCGACCAGTCTGATCAGGATCCATGCTGTTCGCTTACAAAGTCTATAACAAGTAGAGAAACTGATAGGGAACAGCATGGATCCTGATCAGACTGCGCGGATGCGCAGGCTGGTCTGGATCCATGCTGGTCGCAATCCCATTATGTTGGTTTTGTCATGGCGCGGCTTAATTAATTATTCAAAATATTACAGAGCTTCCAAATGTGCAGTACAAGGCTTTACAGAGGCTCTTTCAGATGAAATGAGGAGAGAGGGATACGACGGGATATTCTTCACAACTGTATTTCCCATGTTTGTCGATACTGGCATGACAAAATTCTCACATGACAGGTAAATAATTATCATAATAGTTGATGTTTGAAGTCAGTCCCTCAACCTACTGAATTGAAATGTGTAAAGGCTTTTCCGTAAGTATGACATTCCTTTAACTTTGATTGGACTGTTCCAAATTTATCGCAGGTCAAGTCCAATGCATAAAATTAGGAGGTTAAAGATAAGATTAAATAGGTACTCCTTAACCAATTTCTGTCCTACTCGATATATATTAAGTCCCTATTTCGACAGACCCAACCATCGTGTGTAAAATAAAACCATTGTAGATCATTCTTGTTGATCCGGTATTCATTTATTAAGATTGGATAATTCTTTGATTTAGAATGTCGTTATCATCTTGTAAGTTTAATATGTATCTTTACTATGTTCCTTTATGTTTTCTGATCAACATGCGGCCATTTTAATCAGAAGAAATACAGCACTGATCAAATCGTGACTTTACGAATTTTCATAATAAATTTCATTCTATACTTATAAATGAAATATTGAGAAATATTGATGAAATAAAATGCGTATTTTCATTTTCCGTATTTTCACTGGTGACTGCCTGACTCTTTTTTTCTTAATTTAACCAATACACAAAATTTAAGGGGAAGTCTTGTAGATTGTAATGTCAAGAAAAAGCGAGAAAACTGTATATAGTAAACAGAAAATTCAAGTTTTTTTCTCTACAAATACAGAATTTATTTTCATCTAGTGGTATGAAAATTATCATATTTCACTCGTGGCAACCGCAACTCATGAATATTTTCATACAACTCAATGAATATAAATTCATTATTTACAGAAACAACTTGAATATCCTCTCTTTATGTTCATATATTATGTTCTCTGTTTATGTTCATATATTATGTTCTTATTCCATGCTACATGTATATAAATTTAATAATCTTCATATTTTAGATTGAGTAAAATGTTGAGTCCGGCAGAAGTAGCTTCGGCTGCTGTTGAAGGAGTTCAAAGAAACAAGAAAGGTGTTTATATACCTTCAAACTTAGACTGGAGCGTTAGAATTGGAAAGTATGAAACTTGTTGTTTTTTCCCATTATATCAATTTTTTCAAAATGGATTGCTTATCGCTGAGGGAGGGAGAAAAGCCGTTGTTAAACTTTACAATCATTGCTAATACATGTAGCACTGGTTGGTTTCAGGAACAGATTCGAGAGAGTGTCAGTATAGAGCTTCCAATACATATTCGAACTGAAATAAATTCGTTTAAACTAAAATGGTTGAGAATCAACAAACCCCGTTAAAGCCGACGTATGACCCTAAACTGTATGTTGTTAAAATCCAAGCTATATGAAAACAACAATTGAGCCGCGTCATGACAAAACCATGATAATGGGTTTGCGACCAGCATGGATCCAGACCAGCCTGCGCAGCAGTCTGATCAGGATCCATGCTGTTCGCTTTCAGTTTCTCTATTTGTTATAGGGTTTGTAAGCGAACAGCATGGATCCTGATCAGACTGCGCGAACGCACAGTCTGATCTGGATCCATGCTGGTCGCAAACACATTATGTTGGTTTTGTCATGACGCTGCTCATATAGTTGGTGGAAAATGTGCTACAGGGCTTCATTTGCACCGCGTCTGTAAAAAGATATTACCTCAAAAGAAGTGGAACGTCCGTGGCCGAGTTGTTAATGACGTTAACTTCGGACCATTTGCCTCTCACCGCTGTAGGTGAGAGCCGCACCAGTGCCTTCGGGTTCTTTTATGTGAGAAAGCTAGCTTACGGTACGGTGGCTGTGCTCAGGTCTTCCTCCATCAATACAGCTGGAAAGTGGCTCTATGACATATATTGAATTGGTGCGATGTAAAACCCAACCAATAAAGAAAAGATGACTACATAAAAACAAGTCAAAAAAATACATAACATCCATGCTTTAAACTATTATGGTTTATCAACATTAACAATTGAATTCTAAAGTCGCATTTCATGTTCATAGAAACGTTTGTGAGGCCATATCATCAAATGTGTATTAAATTTAAAGCGGCACACCTACACATGAGTTTATATAAACTTTCAAAATGTCTAAATGTAAAAAGTATATACACTTTATAAAATAAACAACTCGTGTGAATTATTCGTCACTGTACTTTTTTATAACAGAATAGAGTGTTTTCATCTCAAACATTGAATGCTTTACGATCACAAAAAGAAAAATGCATACATAGTTTGACAATTTCTAGAACATTTATATATGGATAATAGGTGGCATAAGTAGGTTTAATTACTCCAGTTGATTCATTTCACAACAATTTTTAATCATTAAACATTTTTAGTGTATCAAATTTTCTGTAGGTGCGCTGCTTTAAGAGTAATATGCTTGTTTTGTTAACGTACAATACATTTAACTAATTTACATGTTTTTAGTTTGTTGCCAAGGAGATTCATAGACGATCCTACTGATTTAATGTATCGAGGAATAGATCCGCAGAAATAAGTTCAGAGCCGCAAGGATAAATAAAGGAAGTGGTGCTAGCTTGTAAAATTTAGAACTGACGTACATAATAGGACAAAATAATGCACACTATGCCTCCACTGTGTACCAGATATCTTTGAAAATGTATGTGTAATAAAGTAATTGAATTTCAAATCAAATGTAATGTTTAAAGAAGAAAGAAAGAGAAACGTCATTGAGTAATGTACAATATATGGAAAAAAAATGTTCGCGTTTCTTTTGACTTTTTTCACAACGTGTTTGAGTGTTGTGGAGATAAAGATTAAACTTATTATTTGTGGTTTTATTGGACTTCTTAAATGGTTTTATTACCTTTCAAAATTCCATATTGTTTACTTCCGCCCAGGATTTTTATCGTTTAGAGCACATTCATTCTTTACTTGGAGATTTTCTTGAATGGCATTTACATGTCACATTGAAAAATCAATTATAACCGCCGTATGAGGCCCTCTAGGGATGATTCAAAATCATTTCGTGTTAGATATTGAATTATCCTTAAGACGGTGCCAGGGGGCGTTGACGGTAGCTTGCACTTTCAACTACCGTCCATGAACAAACTCAATCAAACCGATCCTGCAACGTTTTCAATTTTGTTGTTTTGTGCGTTCTATAAGGATTGTATTTCTCTTAATCAATCACAATGACAATGTGATGGTTTTGTGACAAATAGACCTTGACACTAATTGTGTATTTCGTGAAGGAACAAGTGTGAGGAAGGTCTCTTTAGTCAGTGAAAGACCCTGCTTTAGTTAAGTTTATAATATTTTGAGCAATTTCTGTAAGAATAATCATCATCATACTGGATATAGGAAAGCTGTGGCATCCAACTGTGATTATATATCAGTTGGTACTTTTGGTAAAAATGACATTCAGTTTGCCAAAAATTAACAGTGCATGTATGAATCTGTTACGTACAATGTACATGTATATCATACTAACAATCTCCTTATCTTTAAAGCGACCTTCTATTATAAAAACAATTATGTGTTGTTTCAAACTAAGTATTTCATTGATTTTATCTCATACCACTGATAAGCCCGATAGGCTGTCTTCAAAACCAGCATCCATAGAGCTATTTATAACACGGAAGTGACGTTCGTTTCTAAAAATAGAAAATCGGGAAACAAATAATTATAATACAACACTCATCTCATCATTAACGCCTTGACATTTTATTCTTTTTTTTGAATAGCAACAACAATGGATATCCTTTATTTTATAATGTTTCTTTTAATGCATTTCACAAATACATTGGCCATTCCTGCAGTAAGTTATATGCATCGGACCGCAGCGTCCTGAACAATCGTCACGTGTTTGGCATTCTGTAAATTAATAAAAAATATAAACACATTTAATAAATGCAGCTCTTTTAATCTGGTAAATGAATATCAAATAATCAGTTTTAAGGGATAAAAAAATAGCAAAAAACTATGTCCAGGAAATGTAATAGCTGAATCATTGGAGGTGAAAATTACAAATGTTAAAATTTGCTTTTGTCAGGCAAACATCTTAACAAAATGTTTAAAACATTTCATTTTGAAAGGATCTTAACTTGTTCTCCCATTGATAACTTACTGTTCGATGCAGTTAGAAATAGAATTGTGCCACTATATACATCCGTATCATGAAATAAGTCTAATTTGAACTAAAAGAGTTTGATTAGCCTTAAGCACAATAATCATCAGAAATGAATCTTTTGCCTAGAAAAGGCAAGTGTGTGTTTAATAAAGTTGCAGTAATTGATTTTGAACATGTAAAATGCACATTATCTGAAGAAAAAAACACTGAATGTGAAATGATTTGTATTAAAGCTAGCAAAATGTGAACATTGTGATATTTAGATTTCCAAACAAAATACTAAATCGCTCTGTAGTAATTGCCAAAATGTAAAATTCAGCTATATGACAAACTTGTAACATTTTGAAAACTGTACAAGGGCACCAAAAATAAAAAGCTTATGAAAAAAATAAAATATAAGCATTTTTGAGGATTAATGATTAGGCTTTTGGAAATTACACGGGAGGTTTACAATGTTTAAATAAAGATTTTAGAGTATGTTAGATGCTTGTTACCGAACACAAGTTGCTGAAATGTGAAAATATTTGTCATAAAAATGTAGCAAAAGGTAAGCAAAGTATTAAAAAAAATCAAAAAATCAACAGAAGCAAAAATAGTTAAATGGCTAATTTGTATATTTTTGGAACAACAAAAATTAGAGACTATCGAGAAATAAAAGCATTTTAAGGCATAATGGGCCTTTAAATATGTTTTGTATATGGCAGTGATGAACTTGTAAATATCGAATATTTAACCAGTACTTAGCTCGCGTCGTTTTTAAGTACATTGAGGTCATTTTGATACAAGAGGAGACAGAACAAAGGTTTTCCTCTCATATTTAAGTAAGGAAATATAAATATATTGCGCACCTGCAGTCCCAGCAGCACATACACATTGATGACATCCGGTGTCACAGTTCAAGTGGGAGTTCCCGCTGCATGACGTCAAACCTGTTCGTCTGCAGCTGTCTGTGTCGTGACAGTACTCGGCTCTAACATATTCTGAAAGATAATATAAGATTGCCTGAAGTTTTTTCTTATGAATCTTGTAACGAAAAATACATTTTATTATGTACTTATTGAAGTATTATTGAAAATATGCGTATTTCTATTTTCCGTATTTTCACTGTAAAAATATATTTTTACTGTTATCTTACCGGACTACTTTCTTCAGAATTTCGTCAATACACAAAATTAAAGGGTAGGTCTTTGGAATCGTTAGGTTGAAAATGAAACTGACAATGAAAATACGAACAAAATGTCACTTTAATTAGTATGTGCCAGTGTCTTTTCAGCACTAAAGATTAAAGATTTTCTACACCTTAAGACATCTAAAGTGTATGTTCTACTTCCGGACTTACTTTTTAAACATACAATTTTAACATAAAAGTAATATTTCCTTTCATATTGAAATACAAATTCCGCATGCGCCAAAAACTACTTCATCCAGTCGATTTTAGTAGCAACTACAGACGTTTATATATTTGTATAAGAACCTCTAAAAATAGAAAAAATTCAAATCCTGACCCAAAACCCCCTTGCGCGAGATTAACTGGCCCTTGGAGTTGTTAATATCCGCCATCTTGTTTTATATAACAGAAATTGTTTACTTTTTTATCCATTCCTGAGAATAATTTACATATTATTTATATCTTTATTACTTTTTATATATTTTTGCGACTTCCTTTTTGATGACCATAACATTTGTTAGATAAAATGGCGACGTACACAGGTATATTTATCGGTAGTGTGTCTCGTGTCAAACGTGGTATCGGAAAATCTCGAAAACAATGTTAACTTGCGTGATTATAAATCCTTGATACAGATTTTAAGTGTATGACGTCATACCTTCCTCTCCATTTTAATATAGCTCTGTGTAGCAACGGACCGTGTCGTAAAAAGGTCTTTATAGAAGAAAAAATACATTTAATTACGGTTACTTACCCTCTGCAATAAGAAGTATCACAACAACCCAAATCTTCATTATCTTCTTCTCAAGTTGACCTTCACAGTACTGATAGCCTTATAAACTTTCTAACACAAAACTACCATCACTTTATTTTATGGTTAATATTTAGGACAGTCAAATTTCAAAGCTTATCACAAATTTAGATATATTTGAAATAAATAAACTTGTTTTATTACACAGTATTCCAGACGTTGTGATAAGCTGCAACTTACAGAGGTCTACTTGTAATTTAAACAGTTTCTATCTTTAGAAAGAAATAAATTTCTATTAGATCAAAAAGGGAGAACGCCGTTCCAACAACGCTAAGTCACATATAAATAACGACCATATACCTGGGCATAGATGGAAAGGGCTCTCAATCACGGTTCTTATTTTCAAACGCAGCTTGTTAATCTAAGAATGAGTGGGGTTTTTTTCATTTTGTAAAACGGCTTTTTAGAAGAGAACGGACCGTAAAATAATTAAAAGAGAAATGCCTGTAGGTCGATCAACATTACAAAAGAGAAACTTTTGCATTCTCAATATCATTCAACTTGTTCATTGAACGGCATAGATAAATCCATGCTACCGTCCTAGACCCTAGGACCAGCTCGAGGAAATTTTAATAAGATATTTAATCCGTCGATAGACACATATGGCTTTTCTCGTGGAGCGTTCATTCCACAAGGGGCGTTGTATGGTCGCTAAGCATGTAAATGAACGTACATGCAAAAAAAACGAGATAACATTGGACAGAGCTTAATAGAACGAGATTTGACAGGGTTATGAAGCCCAGTGTGTACCAACTACATACTTTGTAACTTCATTGTTCGAACCTGTGTTCCTAAATAGCAAACTGTGAAACAAATACATGAAAATAATTTATGTTCTTTCGATAAGAATTAACAAGTTTAAGTTATACAAATTTGATTAGTAAAAACACAAATTAAATGTTAGCACAGCTCTTGCGCATGGTAGATAAATCCCTATTTATTTAGCCCCCGAAATGATATCAACTTTATTTCTCTTTTTTTTTTTTTTTTTTTTCATTATTATTAATATTTTTATTTTTTTTTTTTTGGCGGGGGGTATCTTGTTAAAGTTTCCAAAACTTTATTCATAAGCTATTTATGTAAAATATCTCTAGCTCCTTTTTGCTCTTTAGCACTTGGTATAGTGAATAAGTGTTTTGTGTGAAAATCAGAAGTTCTAAATCCATTGCTAGAACATCATTGAACACATGTTGAACCTGTTTTAAAAGATTAAATTTATACTAATTTCTTAGGCATATTGCGCCTTAATGAATTATGGATTATTTCTTATACATTGATTGATAAGTCTGATATTGGTGATCCTGAATAAACATGTATCATGCTATGCCTTATAAATGAAAAAGAAGGAAACATTCAAATATTTGTGATGATTTAATAATATGAGCCGCGTCACGAAAAAACCAACATGATAGTGGATTGCGACCAGCATGGATCCAGACCAGCCTGCGCATCCGCGCAGTCTGATCAGGATCCATGCTGTTCGCTTACAAACCCTATAACAAATAGAGAAACTGATAGCGAACAGCATGGATCCTGATCAAACTGCGCGGATGCGCAGGCTGGTCTGGATCCATGCTGGTCGCAAACCCATTATGTTGGTTTTGTCGTGACGCGCTCATATTGTCACTCGTTTACTTCTTATGGTACATATAACGAATTATTTGAAGGATGGAGTGGAATATTGCAATAGTCTGTTACACAGCAGTAGGTACATCCGAAGTCAAGAA